AACGGTACCAGAAGCTGCAAGGACCTGGCGTCGAATGAGCTGAGCATCATGTCAGCTGGCCACACCTCGATTTCCATCGCCGCCAAGCTGCAAGCATACAGGTAAAACACGTACAAGCAGTTGATAAGAAGAAAGCCGTTTTCATGCTCCGACATGGAAGTAGGAGTTAAAAACAATAAATGAAAAATTTTACTACTCTACTTCAGCTTTCAGATAACAGCAATAAAACGTTCCAGATCGAAGAAAGAATTAATCGACGTGGAAAAGTGACTTCAGACTGTTCAGCAGACGAATGGCCCGCTCTCTTGCCTAAATATAAATGCCTAAATGCGTTACGTTCTGAAAAAAAAACATTTCGCACAATGCAACAGTGCAAAATACGATCTGTCATACCACAGGAAGTAATGAGAGGCGGGGGAAAATATTTCTAGTTGGAAAGGACAAAGAGCAAAAAATTTTAGAGGCATACCGTTGCCGCATATGCATAAATTTATGAGGTGCGAAAATATAAACACATACGGGGCAGCTGACCGGAAAATAAACGTAAGCCTATAAGCCAACAGTGTCTGATAACAAAATAAACTTAACCTCCTGAAACTCTGCAGAGGAAAAGATACAACTCACGATCATTGTGAAACCGATGCCAGACTTGACTGATCTGATCGTTTATGACAGTTTCCTGCAAATCTACAGTTGTGATGTTCCGTGATAGTAACGCGTTCGTGAATCGAAAATGGCATCACACGCTAATTGGAAACGTCAGGGTTGGTACTTCAAAGAAATCACTGAAAAGCAATCAAATTTACGGTCTACAGTTGCATAACGGTTTTATTTAAAGATTAGAACCAATAATTAGGAAATGTCTGGCGTTTTCGATTTAACCAACGATAGAGCACCGCTAACGGTTAGTCTCAAAATGCGAGGGTACACCGTTTTAAACATGCATTATCATTTTAAAACGAATCGATAGTACAGCGCTGTCTAATTCACCAACAAAACCTGACTGGTAAAAATATGGAATTAGACAAGATTGTGATTAATGTCTGAGCCTGCTAACCGAATCAGATCGTGTGCGCTGAACGCAAAACTCCTCATAACCTTCATCGATGAAGCCATCGCGGCATCAAACGACGACGCCTACGCAAATCTATTCATAGAGCAAGGATAGCCATTTGGAATGACATCAACAATAGTGAAAAAGCTGAAAGCTTCCCATTCTTACAGAAAAATGAGTGAATAATTTGGTCTTATTTAAATGAATATCTGACTTCTTATGAATCGTTGTCTGGTTGTTAGCCAGCGAGCAACGGCGAAATTTATCACTCCTGCAGAAATGTTCGCAGCCAGCGGTTATTGCTCGCAACTTCTCCGACAACTAAGTAAGCGCGATCTATGCCACAGTAGGCAAGTTTCGTGCTGTATGTCGGAACGTTCGTTCCCTGTCTGGTGAAAGTAAACAGTTGATGGGTACCTACGGTATGGCCCTAGTGTAACTAGATGGTGCCATCTGGCGCGTCCCCAGGAAGCGGAGAGGGGAACAACCATCAGATATTGAAGTCAGCTGCGACAATAAGCAGTGATTGACAGACATCGATGAGAACGAGAGCGTGACAGGTTTGGAGCTCAACAGGATCATTCCTTAGAAAAAAGCCTAAATGTCTGACAGTTTCACGACGAGGCGAAAGTAACACACGCCTCTGAAGAAAAATATCGCCAATGTCATCGCTGCCTTCAGGTTAGACGTCGGTTCGTTAAAGCTAAAAAAGAAAACTTGGATTAAAAAGTGGACGGAATTTGGGAACTTGTCTGTAAGAAATTCGTAAGGCCACCATCAAACCTGCCAATGAGAGGCAAAATTTCATGTGCTATGATAACACGCATAACACGAAGTGTTGCGGCCGGCGCGATTCGTTGCCGAATATCTGCCGATCCAAGTGATATATAAAATCTTTTTGCGGCGGATTACATCGAAGATTTCATTTTTATCCACCCCACGCGCACGCTTTATTGTTTTCCGCAAGGCAGACTGGGTAGGGAGATCAAGACATTAACTTCGTACCCGAAACTTCTACGAGCCATGTTTCATATTTCTAATATTATTATGCGTAGATATTTAGCAATATATCTGCAGCAATACAATGAACTTTGAAAGCATGATTCATTCAGTTTTCGATGGACCCTGAATAGCTTACGTTTGCTCCAAGGCTGCACAAAGACGATTTGCATAGCAACGCTAGGAAAAATTCACTTTGGAAAGAATGTTGTGTAAAGCTGGATTGGAAAATGCCTTGATTACTCAATACAGAGTTCGTAAGTATCACTCGTAAGCGGAAGAGATGCCGCGTATCCGCTGGAGTAGAAGCACTTTCCGTAATCGCAGCTCTCAAATCGGTAACGCTTAAGTAGCTCAGCACAAGCGCATAAAAATGATAACATACCGCATGAGAATCAGCAGACAACTGCAGTTTAATCGCGGCGCTAACAGATGACAGCGATGTATCGGGAAATTCCTTGACAAAGTTTTCTAGGGCTGGCAACACAGATCCGGTGTCGGCCAAGTGAGCTAACAGAGACCTCAGCCTGGAAGAACAATTTTTAGAGCAAGCGCAGTACAAAACACGAACAAAACCACGTACCAGCTCCACTCCCCCGTTGTTGTGGTGAAAGGCAACGGAAACGCACACCCGAAGCCGTCGTTATCTTCGCTGAGGGACTGCGGATCGACTGGTACGTCATAACCAGGCACCGCACCGCCGTCATTGTCCAGGTTTGAGTCGACTGCAAATCGCGACGTGCCGAACGTGTCGATCACTGCCTGTCGCAGCAAATCATGGCTCCAACTGTCATCTGAGCCGAACGACACTAAGGAGTCACACCAGGGTGGATAAGAATCTTCCGCCGCCCCAATCTCGAAGCCCTTAGTGCGAATGCAAGCCTGTAAAGCAATTCCGCACATGTGGCACATTCGTCTATGTATACTAAATCTGTTACTACCGCGTTCATTGCTGGATTCACCGTCTCACCCGAAGAAGATGGCACGCACTTTGCTTCACAGTCATGCTTCAAATTTACTTCAATATTAGCATCGGCCACGACTTGGTCTGTGACTGATCCTTCAACGCTAGATTCGACTTCCACAGCAACGTCTTCTGCGCTAGTAGCACACAAGGGCTCCAAATAAACAATTTTCGTATTCTTGTCTTCGCACACGCCTGCCGCATCAAGAATCTCGTCGGCTGATTCGTCGCTAGTATCCGACTCCCACTCGTTATCG